CTTTCTGTGGGACACAGTTTAGGAAACACTGGATTACGATACCGTTTTGATCATCGTGAGTGTGCGAATGGCTTCGCCTCCACAGCATTAGCGGGCTAGAAAGTCTGAGCGGAGTTGGCTTGTATCAATGCGCGTATCTCTCAGTCCTGCCTGGAATCCACAAAATCCCTTTGGAAGATGGTTTCCTGAGATAAGGATGCGGCTTGTGGCCGCAGACAGAGGGTGAGATTAGCTTTGCGTGAGATTACCACCCGCAGCCACGGTTTTCTTAGCTCAGTACTTTAAGGCTCTGGCTGTCCTTTAATGGAAGGAAATTTTCGTATTGGCAGGTGGTAATGGAAATGTACTAGGGTCCTTTTAAATGTTTAAAGGCCACTGACATTCAGTACTATATATATATATATATACATATATGGATCCATATCTATTCAAGAGTGCATCAATGAAAATATGTCTTAAAACAACGAAAGGGCTGAATGATGCCCCTGATCTGTTTCCTAATAAGGCTAAGTTTCCTAAGTGGCTAATACCCTCTAAATCTTCAGTGTTTTTTTGACTTGGTCTCTAAGAATGGTGGTTCCCAAACCTTGCAGTACCTTAGAACCAAGCTTTCAAATTCTGATGGTCATATTGCGTCTCATTCCGACTAAATCCCAATGCTGCCAGGCATAGGACTTTTTTTTTTTTTTAATGTTTATTTCTCTTTGAGAGAGAAAGACAGAGCCTGAGTGGGGAAGGGGCAGAGAGAGAGAGAGAGAGGGAGGCACAGAATCTGAAACCGGCTCCAGGCTCTGAGCTGTCAGCAGAGAGAGCCTGACGCGGGGCTCGAACTCGGAAACGGCGAGATCGTGACCTGAGCTGAAGTCGGTCGCCCAACCGACTGAGCCACTCGGGTGCCTCCTGGCATATGAATTTGTAAAAGATCCCCGGTAATTCCAATGTGCAGCAAAGGTGGAGGACTGATGACTTGGAAACCCTTTAAGCTGCAGACGGCTTATTATAACATCCATACCTCTGTAAGAGAGATAGGACAGGAATTCACATTCATCTCCTAAGTTGAGATAATGGAGGTCCTAAGACCATGTCAAGGAACGTGACCAAGGTCACAGATTTGTGTCTGATTCCAGGCAAGTGTCTGGAGGCCCTTCAGGCAAGGCTGGCCGAGGCCAGCATATCAGGCAAGATTCTGGAAATGGTAGGACAAGAGATTGGGTTCGGGTGGGAGGAGATGGGCTTGAAAACCCAGTGGACTGAACACAGGCCTTTGTGCCTAGAGGAGAAACAAGAAAAGCACTTCAATGTTATGCCTCCTGCCCCTCCCATCAATGCTGTTTCTGTCTGCAGCCTGCTGGTTTGCATTTCGTTTATAGGGAGACAAAATGGAACCTTTGTGCCAGAGTCGAAGGAGATTGTAAAAGCCCACAGCTTGTCTTCAGACTTAATGTCAACTATGTGTATGTGTCTCTTTTATTTTCAGACAAACAAGTCCTCACCATGAGTTCTGAGGCCGTCTCAAACACTCCCTGCCTTGGGCTTGTAGCATCCTGGTTCTTGCATCAACACTAACAGTTCTGTAGACAAGGGGATAAGTCAAGAAATCTCTTTCCTTGGAGGGGAACAGGCATGGGCCGGGTGATCGCTGGGGCGACACCCTCTACATTACTGGGGACTTGGGATGGGTGACCCACAGTTCTGAGATCCATGGTGGGTCTTAGAAGGAGAGATGAGTTGCTCCAACGTTCTTTTTTTTTGTCGTTTATTATTACACAAAGCCGTAGGTTAGCGGTCTATGTGAACGAGTTGTTTCTTCTGTGACCTCAGAAAAAAGATACTGTGACTTCTCCTAACAATGTGCCATCGTGGGGATGCCTGGGTGGCTCAGTCGTTTGAGTCTGTCTCTTGATTTCGGCTCGGGTCGTGATCTCATGGTTGTGAGATCGAGCGCTGTGTCAGGCTCTGCACGGACAGCAGGGGCCCTGCTTGGGATTCTCTGTCTCTCTCTCTCTCTCTTCCCCTCCCCCCACCCCCTCAATAAATAAATAAATAAATGCGTACAGATGCATATACAATTAAATGTCACTTATTCTTAGGTAGTTTTCACTTTTCTTGTTGCTATGGAGAATATAGTTTCATATTTTGAGCTTTATATATGAAGGGAAGTGATTTTTAATTTCTGTAATAAACAATACTTTATTCTCTGGGTTTTTAAAAAGTTGTATCATCCACAAACGATGATAACTGTCTTTTCTTACAGGTAGGCACGCTTCTAATTTCTTTTTTTTTTTTTTTTAATTAAAAAAAAAATTTTTTTTTTCAATGTTTATTTATTTTTGGGACAGAGAGAGACAGAGCATGAACGGGGGAGGGGCAGAGAGAGAGGGAGACACAGAATCGGAAACAGGCTCCAGGCTCCGAGCCATCAGCCCAGAGCCCGACGCGGGGCTCGAACTCCCGGACCGCGAGATCATGACCTGGCTGAAGTCGGACGCTTAACCGACTGCGCCACCCAGGCGCCCCTCTAATTTCTTTTTCGGGTGTTAGGGTAATAGCTACCACTTATATTTATTTATTTATTACATTTTTTAAAAATTTGTTTTTGAGAGACAGAGAGAGACAGAACACAAGTCGGGGAGAGGCAGAGAGAGAGAGAGGGAGACGCAAAATCCGAAGCAGGCTCCAGGCTGTCCTCACAGAGCCCGACGCGGGGCTTGAACTCCCGAGCCGCGAGATCATGACCTGAGCCAAAGTCGGACGCTTCACCGACTGAGCCACTCGGGCACCCCAACAGCTACGACTTCTAGAACAATGTTAAACAAAAGTGACAAATGGGACAACACAAGAATGCCCTGTAGTGTGAAATGTGGTATTGGCTATTGGGCAGATTTTCAACAATCGTATCGAGAAAACATTGCTCTTGTGGTAAGAGTGTTTTTAAACATCAATAGTGGCTGTTGAAAGGATGTGGCTTTTAAAACACATTAATGGGGGCACCTGGGTGGCTCAGTGGGTTGAGCATCCGACTCTTGATTTTGGTCATGATCTCAGTTTGTGAGACAGCCCTGAGTCGGACTCTGCACTGACCGCAGGGCACCTGCTTGGGATTCTCCCCCTCCCTCTCTCTCTGCCCCTCCTCTGCTCTCTCCCTCTCTCTCAAAATAAGCAAGACAAACTTAAAGAATGTGTTGTCATGAAAGATCGCCACTAAGACAGAACAGTGGGGCCTCTGTAAAGCCTGGATCTGAGCCGATTTGACAGAAAGTAGCTTTTTTTTTTTTTTTTTTTAGAGTATGAATAAATGTCTAGAATGCGATCCTTTGTTAGGTGTGTAATAATAAAATGCTGACATTGGGAATAACTTACTTTAGAACTATAGTGGGATTTAAGGTTGCCCCCATCAATAACGCATTTACTTGCATACCACAATGGTTCCTTGGCTAGGAGAATAAAGGGGGCGGAAAACCTGGAGATTTGCTTCTCTCAGGGGAGCGTTTCACACACAGCAGGGCAGCCCCTACAGATGTTGCAGCTGAAAGAAAGATATAGAACCATTAGTCCGTCTAAAGCAGCTTTACTCAGTGTGTGGTCCTCAGACCAGCACTGTCCCCTGGGATCTTCTTGGCAAATGCAAATTCTCAGGTCCCCAAAGCAGACCTACTGAATCAGAATCATAGGGTGCCCCTCCACCCCCACCCCGACGCTGTGTTTTTTTTTTTTTAATTTTTTTTCAACGTTTATTTACTTTTGGGACAGAGAGAGACAGAGCATGAACGGGGGAGGGGCAGAGAGAGAGGGAGACACAGAATCGGAAACAGGCTCCAGGCTCTGAGCCATCAGCCCAGAGCCTGACACGGGGCTCGAACTCCCGGACCGCGAGATCGTGACCTGGCTGAAGTCGGACGCTTAACCGACTGCGCCACCCAGGCGCCCCCCGACGCTGTGTTTTAACAAGCTCTCCCGGCAGTGTTAGCCTTCACTGAGGTTTGAGAAGCCCTGCTCTAGGCTGATGGTTCCCATAGTGTGGTCACCTGACCGCTGGCACGAGCATCACCCGAAATCTTGTTCAAAAGCCTCTGAGACTTTTCCCACAGCAGAAATGCTCCATGGCATTTCAGACGTTCAAGTTCAGATGTTCAAGGACCCCAGAGATGCACAGCCCTGAGTGTACCAAATAACAAATTCTTGGATAAAAATTCTCTGATGCGCGTGTTTCCAGTCTTAGCACTAACTAGAAGGGAACTACCAAGCTCTCCTGGACCTGTTTCCTGTCACTAGGTAGTTAACGATAAAACCTTGCAAACCGTCAGCATCTCCTGCCCCGCCTCTGGTTTAGGACGCTGGTTGTCGAATCTGGAGCTCCGGAGGGGGGGCTCAACACTGTGTTCTTTTCTTTTCTTTTTAAAAAAAATTTTAACGTTTACTTTGGAGACAGCGACAGAATGTGAGCGGAGGAGGGGCAGAGAGAGGGGGAGACACGGAATCCGAAGCAGGCTCCGGGCTCCGAGCTGTCAGCACAGAGCCCGACGCGGGGCTCGAACTCACGAATTGTGAGATCGTGGCCTGAGCCGAAGTCGGACGCTCCACTGACTGAGCCACCCAGGTGCCCCTCAACACTTGTGTCCCAACAAGCCCTTCATACAGAGGCAGCCGTCTTCCAGTTCGAGAACCACTAGACCACAGGTCCCATCAAACTACCCACACGCGTGGCCTCATAGAGCATTGAGACTTCTCTATTTCAGCCTGTACTTGGGGCACCTGCGTCTTGACTCTGGGCTGTAGCCCATGTCTGCCCCTCCCTCTCCTCCGTGCTGGCTGAGAAGCACAGCCAGGAGGCGGAAATTCGGCCCAACAACAGCACAATGGGACTGTGGTAACAAAGGTGACATCTACTGGGACTTCCCGAGCTGAGCTCCCCTGCCCTCTCCCCCGCTCCACGGGAGACCTGTCCTCTTCTTGAAGATCGCCCTGTGGTAACCCTGGCTAACAAGTGTGTTTTCCTGAAGGTATCTGGGCCTTGAATGTGAAGAAGAACTCTTTAATGATGGAGGTGATTGAAGCAAGAAAGGCGAAGAGAGACAAAGGTAGGGCTTGGGCTTAGCAACGGGAGCTCCTGATGCAGGGCTGGTCGAAGCTTCCAGACCTGGGGAGGGAAGGCAAAGGGGTGGGGCTCCGGGTGGCGGCTCCTGTTATACGCGTAGAGAGAGTATAGCCGCGGAGGACTGTGGTTCATCATGACCTTCGCCTCTGCCAGATACAAGCAAATGCCTCCGCCTGCAAGGTCGTTGCATCCTTTAATAAATATATTTTATTTTGAAGCAATCTCTGTACCCCCCACACGGAGCACAAACTCACGACCTCGAGCCCAAGGCTAGCATGCTCTATTGACTGAGCCAGCCAGGTGGCCCGAGACCTTTGCATTTTGCATTTGCTTTGAGGGCACAGAAATGAGCCCTCGAGTCTATACTTGGAAGCTTGGGTGTGCGTGTTTTGTATTGTTTTGTTTTGTTTTTGGCGAAAGGTGATGTTGCACATCTTGCCTTCCTTGGGCCGAATAATACACAGTTCTTGCAGGGAAATGAAACCTTCCACAATCCGTTCTTTATTGACAGAGCTGCTCCTAAACGAGCTCCAGCTCAGGAAACGTCCGCCAGGCGGCCTGGGAATAACTGTCCAATCTGCATTTTCTCTGGTTATCCCCATGGCTAGTGGTTTTTTTTTTTTTTTTCACCGAATTTAGGTTGGACACGGCGAGACCAACCTTTTAACTTCCTTGCCTTCCCCAGCCCCCAAAGGAATGGGCTGTTTGGTACACTAATGAACAGACTTTCTAGTAAAGCCTCCCTAACCCCAAATGCTTGAAACCTCTGGCCAGCGCTATAGTGAAAAGCTTGAGGATTTTTGATCCCCTTAGATTTGAGTTCAACGCCCCCCATTTGCTAGTTGTGCAAGCTAATCCGCTTCAGTAAAAGCTTTGCATAACCTATTTCTTGTAACCCGCAAGAAGGCTCTATGAGATCTAATCTTGCTCGGCCCACGATTTGACCCAGGAGGCAGCTACGGTTTAGAAGGGCTACCGGGCTTGCTCGAGGTTCACGGTGATCTCGCAGGTAGAGAAGGAGTTTGGACTCAACCGGTCTAATTGCACAGCCCGTGTGTCTCAGGGCTGACCTGTCGCGCGAACCTGTTCCAAGCCCTTCAAACGTATCGTTTTGGCTGATCCTTACAATTGCCTTCCGGTAACCAATTTTGTCGGTGAGAAAAACATTAGACGGTCAGAGTGCGCACAATTTGACGTTCTTCGAAGGTCTGAGGCTGAGCCTGCCAGCCTCCCAAGGTCCCCCACCTTTTACCACCACGCTGTTCTTCAACTGGTAGACACTCTGGAATGTCACTCTGTCTCCCATCTTTGGATTCGCTCTTATCCCCGCTGAATACAAGGGGTGTAAGGGCCGTTAGGCATGATGGGGGAAACGTTCAAAACGTGGTTCCAAGACCCTCCGATTCGTTGAAGAACTGGACGGTGGTACCCGAGTGCCTCTAAATCACCCGTGTTTCTCTTTGCTGGTAGAACTCACAGAGAACATCGGTCTTCCCCTGAGTCTGCTTGAAAAGCACAGCCCGTGGCCAGCCTATGTCACCTACACATCCCCGATGGTGAAAAAACTCATTGAGAAAAGCAAAGCCAGGGACCTGGGTTCTATGCAAGCACTTGAAGAAAGCCAGCGGGCCTCAAAGCAGAGCCAACCTTCCGGCATCGCGCAGCTGAAAAGGAGAAAGTCATCTAAGTCCTCCGGAGACGCGATGTCCAAGGACAGGAGGTCAGAGACCATGTTATCGGTATGGAGCACGTATTCGGTGACGAGCCTGGGGCCCGCTGTCATGCCTGAACCGATACGCTTTCATACGGAGTCCAGAGAAAACCCCACCGCAAACTATAACAAGATCATCTTCTCTCGAAAACCTATGATGAGGATCCTTCCATACAGCTCACTTCTAGCCAACAAGGAGACACATTCGAATGTTTAGCAGGGAATCCCAGCAACCACCCACCGCCCTCCCTTCCCAAGACGGTACAGCAACGAAGCTCCATAATTCACCAATTTTACTACATCCTCTGAATGTGAACTTGCCCCTGCTTGTGCAGAGGTTGGCCGGAGACAAACCGGATCAGAATGTGGGCCGCGGGTGGGGGGTGGGGGAACCCTCTCCAGCGTCACCATCTGGTAGGGATGGGAAGTGCCATGTTCTAGTTCCTGCCGTAGATGCTTAGAACCTAACTGAGGGTGAATCAGTCCTGGTCTAGGCAGGAGACAGAAATCACCCCGGTTGTGATGCCAGCGATAATGTAATGTGAAGAATTACTAACCAGGTGGCTGAAAAAGGCAGGGGGGAGGCCACACAGGTATTAGGGGCGGTAGCACCTGTAGGAAGCAGTTTTCACAAGGCTGCACAAGGGAAGATATCGGACTTGTTAAAGTTAGGCACTTGGAGAAGGGGTGCGCGGGCTGAATCTCAGATTTCTGAGATGCGGGGGACAGGGGTGCTCCTCAGCAGGTTCCCGGGGTCTCTGAGCTCAGAGAAAAGTTCCTGCGGGGCCGGTACCTCTGAATCTGAGGAGGAGAAGGTCTCTGGCTGAGGCGGGCTCCGTGGTTGCTGAGAAAACCAAAACGCCGGAGTCCAATGCTTCTGGAAGGGATTGACCCTGCTTTGAGCAGTTCCCAAGAGGCCCCAGGGCAACTGATGTTAAACTGAGTCTCAAAGCAGTCAAGCCTTGTCTTTAGATTCAAGGGGGATCTTGTCAAGAGAGGGAGACCTAGCTGATCTTACCTTTGGGGTTTGTCTATTGAGCAGGGCTCCACTGATCGCTCGTCTCTTTGACCTCTATAGTCATATCTGTGAAGCAATGAACACCCACCTCGCTTCCCTCAGCAGAGGCGTAGAGGATGTGATGTGCAAGTCGCTATGAGGGCCATTCGAAGAAGCTGGATTTGCCATCCACGTGGCCACTCTCTGCATACACGATTCGTGCAGAAACGTCGGCACTCACCTCTGGCTGCTGTGAGTAGTGTTGGGAGAGCTGCACAAGTGAGGAGCTCCGGACCGATTCCTGGGGTATCCGACCTTGGGCAGAACCAACTCTTGCACAAATATAGGTGGTTTCCAGCTGAATGACTGCATTTTGTATCCGCGGGTCATTTATACACGTGGAGGCAGGTGATACATTTCTCCAACGAGACTTACTCTTTCTTCTATCCTTTGGTGGGAATTTATAACCAGAACATATCTGGAGTGTCTTTGGGAGCATATTTACCTATCCTGGGAGCACCAGGGATGTCTCTCGGGTCCTCGTGAATGAAGCTAGTCCCACCAGATGTCTAACATGGAGCGTGAGAGTTGATGGAGACTTGGGATTATTTCTTCCAATCCCTTTGAGGGCCGAGCGGTTACGGTTTGAGACAAAGCTTTCTAGGTAGGTCTTTAACACTTTTTACAAACGTGTCTGTATGCTCTCTAAATTAAAATGGTTTTCTTTCGGGGCGCCTGGGTGGCGCAGTCGGTTAAGCGTCCGACTTCAGCCAGGTCACGATCTCGCGGTCCGTGAGTTCGAGCCCCGCGTCGGGCTCTGGGCTGATGGCTCAGAGCCTGGAGCCTGTTTCCGATTCTGTGTCTCCCTCTCTCTCTGCCCCTCCCCCGTTCATGCTCTGTCTCTCTCTGTCCCAAAAATAAATAAACGTTGAAAAAAAATTTAAAAAAAAAATGGTTTTCTTTCTTTTTTAGACAGATAACATCGTTTA